ATGTGCCCGCCCCCCATGCACCTGCCCCGGTGGGTGCAGCTCCAGATGCTGTGTGTGTGCCCTTTGATTGACTCCTGTAGTGGAAGGCTCTAACGCTTCCTTCTTCAAAACGAAGGAAAACAGGCTTAGCGAGCTTAGTAGGTCAGTGGTGTGGTTGAGCTCTGTACCAAAGGGTTCTGGCTCTGTTCTAGGCAGATGTTTGTTTGCATTCCTCGGCAGTTGTCTCAGAGCGCCGCAAGCTGCACAGATGCAAACATGAAGGAAGCTCTGTGTTATTTCAAAAGAATGGGAATGGAGAAGATGGACGATTTTTAGGTCATGGCAGTTGTAATGTTTTCCTCTGTAAGCAGTGTGTTTAGCAGTCAACAAAGGGAAATGAGTCTCTCTGAGATGGAAGTAATAAATTTATACCCTCCCCCTACAAGGCTGCAGAGGGCTAACGAAGTAATGGCTGCTTGCCTGCTCCCCAGGGACCCTGCACGGGGCCTGGGACGCATCCAGCAGATTGTACTTGACTGTGACAGTGAGCCTTTGCTAGGTATCATTCGAATAACTATTTGAGAAGGGCAGGTAGCAAAGCTGTGCTTGTTCTGTCATCTGCCTCGGGGATAACTGTTGTATTTCACCATGCAAATACCGATTGCTCCTCTGTGACTTGACTACATTTTAGAGGTGATTTTGTAAACTTTTGAAGTTCTAAAAGTGTGTTTCTATTTCAAGATACTTTTGTAATTCACAAGCACGTGTATGATATACACTGTGTTGTTTAAAATCAAGTAATGGAATGATTAGGCCAACAAGGACAGAAGGTCGCTTTGGTCTGTAGTTAGGGTGTGGATTGTGCGTTCCTGTGATAAGTTCTTCAGGATACTTGGGCCTCTCCCTGTGCGAAGAATCCCTGCTTTTACACTCATACAAAACAACAACAACAAAAACCAAAAACCTGAATCTTGATGCCAAAGAAATGTTAGTTGAGATGCGCAGGCCAATTTCTGTCCAACGAAAGCCACTCGTGAGTGATCATTGCAGCCCAGCTGTTGTGCACACAGCACAGCCGGTGGTCACCAGAGCCAAGGTCTGTGCACAGCTGCAGGCTGACGTCACCGCCGGGCCGGGCTGGTGCTCTGCACTGCTGGGATCACAGCAGGCTCCCACCTGCTCCCCAGCCTGGCCCGCTTTCTCCTGTCCCCTGGCCCTTCCTTCCCTTCACTCACAGTGGCCAGCAAAAATCACACATGATTGAGGCTTTGTTTATTTTTAAAACAGAAGGAAGCAGCCCTGTGCGGTGAATAATGTGAAAGGATTTCTGTATATCCCATTTGGTTTCTAATCTGATGCAGCATTATTTTCTGTTTAAACTGATGGCAGCCTGATCATTCACAGTTGTGTTCAGATCCAGCAGGGAAAGCCTGCTCTTGGCCCCTGCTGAGAAGCTCCTGTAGCCCAAAGCACAGGAACCTACTGTTTTCTCCTGAGTTGCCGGGCTCCCTTAAATGATTGTCTGAGAGTTTTGAGTGGGCTCAAATCATCTGATTGCCAGGAAAGTGAGTAAAAAGACTGCATGAAACCAAGATTACCCTCACGAGGAAGCTGTCATCACTGATTGCTTGCTAAGCGTTATTTTATTGCCTACTTTTATCTAAAGTTCTAATATGGGGTTTCTACAAGGATCCTTCAGAGAAAGCCCATAGCCCTATCCTTTGATGGATAGACAACACAACATGAGTTGGAAGGAGCTTGTGTCAATGCATCTGATGAATATTGGACTTCTTGCATCTTTTAGTTCTCCTTAGATAAATAGTATAGTGAAAGGCAAAGTGAATATGAAGGGGGCATTCTTTTGAGAACAAGATGGTCAATATATTTTACTGAACATTTGTTTACTTTGAAAGACAGTTAATAGAGGGAGAGGGAAAGACATTGAGAGAGATCTTTCATCCCCTGATTTACTCCCTAAATGGCTTGCAACAGCCAGAGCTGGGGCAGGTTGATGCCAGGAGCTTTTATCTGAGTTTACCACATGGCTGCTGGAGCCCAAGAGCTTGAGTCATTCTCTGCTGCTTCCCAAGGCCATTAGTAGGGAGCTGGATAGGAAGTGGAGCAGCCAGGACTTGAACTGGCACCAGCATGGGATGCTGTTACTGTTGGTGACTTTCCCTGTTAGGCTGCAGCACCAGTCCCTACTAAATTGTTTGAAAGAAAAAAGCTTCCCAGTACTTGGTCCCTGAGGACTGAGGTGTCAATGATGTCCCCTGTGATCTGACCTTCCTGGGCCTTCTTGGGTTCCATCTCTTCTCATCTCTATTCTGGGTTTTCCAGGCCCCACGGCACGCTGTGCAGCCTCCCACTCATGCTCCAAGGGAATGTGCTTTTCACCCTCAGCTCCAGGGTGTTTAATGTCCCATGACTCGGTCTGAAGTTCTGCTGACCAAACCTAAAGGTGATATATCTCCTCACCCTTGGGATAGCTTATATGTATATGTGAACACAATGAAGGTGTCGGTGTCATGAAGGATGTGGAGAAAAGCTAGCCCTCGTACCGCTGGGTGAGCATAATGGTGCGGACACTGAGAAACAATGTGGTAGTCCCTCAGATCACTGAAGGGAGAGTTAGGGGACGGTGCAGCAGCTCCGCTTCTGGGTATATATGCTGGATAACTGGAAGTGAGAACTCCATTTGTGCATCCGTGTGTAGCAGCATCATTCACCACAGCCAACCCAAGCGTCCATTGAGAGAGAAGTGGACACATAAAATGGGACGGGTTCACAGGCTGACAAGCAAAGGAAATTGAGACTCATACTATGACGTGAGGCACACTTGAGGATATTGTGCTGTGTGGAATGACCAGTCCCAAAGGGACAGTGCTGCGTGCTTCTAGCTACTTGGGTTGTTGAGTCAAACAAGCAAAAACGGGGATTTGGATGGTTAAACAGCAGCGGTTTGTTGTTCAACTGTGTGGAACTTTAGTCTGAGGATGATGGCAGCCTAATATGACTGCTACTTATTGTCACTGAGTCATGCACTTAAAACGGTAGGCTTTGTTACATCTGTTTTAGCACAATGACATTTTTTTTTCAATCAAACTTCTGAACCATGCTGACTGATGTCAGTCACCCCATGTGGCACTCGCTGGGCCCCTGGGCCCACCCCCTGTTGCTGCCTCTCACCTGTCTGCTCAGTTACACAGTGAGCTTCTCCAGGACAGGCCCATCTGGAGCTTCAGCAGCCACTGGCACAAGAGGCAGCCGGGTAGATGGGGAAGCCATGGGCTTTGGGCACTGAGAGAGTCAGGAACTGAACAACGTACCATGCCCAGTCATCACCTCTCACTAGCTCTGTGTCTATGGGAAAATTACCCACCCTCTCAGTGTTGGCTTCCATATGTGCCCATTTAGGAATAAGATTTGCACAGGTTCTCTGTGAAAGTCACACACAGCAATGCATGGGGCCCATTCTGTGTCAGGCATTGAGTGTCTCCTGGTCTTTTTTAAAATATCACTTCTTTTCCCTTTCAAAGACTATTTGTAGATGTAATTGATTTTATTATTTTTTTTTTCAGTGCCTTTTTGGCAGGTAGGATTCTTTGCTGTATTTCAGGATGGCCTTTCACTGGGGAGAAGTGACTTGGCTATTTCTACTGCTGTGTGGTGTCTTCCGGAGGAATGCAGCCCTCACCCTTGCAGGGAGTTGGTCCCAGGAACCAGCCAACTTCACATTCTTTAGGGATACAGCCACCAATCTGAACTGTCCTTCTCTCAGCTCTGGATGCTTTCCTCCTCCCCAAACTCCAGGAATGTTCCTTAGCATATATGTATTCCTAGCAGGCAGACAGTAAGCATGAACACAGCAGGCTTGGCTAGAGATTGATGTGTTAACTCAGACCCTGGGTTTGCTGAGAACAGAAACCCTCCTGTGCATTTCAGGAGCACCCCCTACTTTTTATATTCACAGTTCCATGAAGGAAGGCTAGTACAGGTCAAAGACAAGCTGCCTGAGAGTCGAGATGGAGCAGTTACTATAAAGTTGTATGTGGATGTATCTGCAGGTATATGCTGCAATGTATTACAAATGTTGATAATTCTGGGTTTCTTTATTTTGAAAGTTTTTAATTTATTGGAAAGGCAGAGTGACAGAGGTAGACAGATCTTATCTGCCAAGAGTGCTTGTATCTGCTGGCTCACTGCCCAAAAGGCCACAGTGGCTGGGGCTGTTCTAGCAAGGTTTCCCTCGTGGGTACAGAGGCGCAAGCACCTGGAGCATTCTTCTGCTGTTCTCTCAGGCACGTTAGCAGGGAGCCGGATCACAAGTGAGGCCAATGGGACTTGAGTCAGTGCTCTCACTGAGATGTTGATGCCACAGGCTGCAGCAATTCCGATTTTGACAGCGGTAGACAAGAGCTAGTATGTTGTTTTTTAATGACATTTTCAGATTTATTTTAAATATGGTAACCTTCTAACATATTCATAGTACAGTTTTTAAAATATGGTTTTAAAGCTTTTATGCGCCGACCATTTGGTTCAGCATATTCTTGGGTTTTTAGTACTACATGTGGAAGGAACATTGAAATGAGGCCAAAGGAACTACAGGCTCAAGGTCATGGGTTTCTCCTCTCTGACCCTTCTTGATTTCTCCTGCACTGGCTGGCTGAGATGGGGTTGGCTCGGCCTGGACTTCCCCCCTCGGTCAGTCGATGGGGGTTCTCATGACCACTAGGGCACCACACCAGGCGAGCTCTTTGAGGTCCTAGCTGTTCTGGAGTCCTGTACCTACTGCTTAGCAATGAGGGTTTGGTGCGGAGTGTTCTGTTTTTTGCTGCATCATTTCCTCTTGCTTTATCATTCACCTCCGAGTCTGTGCTGCTTGAAAATGTGGCCCACAGAGAACTGTTCATGAAGTGTTCATGCTTCTGGAGTCCTCACAGCTGTGCGCAAAGGTTACACAGTCAGGACGTTTAACACATTAAAATGCCATCTTCCCTTTCCCTGTTCATCTTTTTCAGCTACCGCTTCAACCACTTGTGAGAAATTAGAAAAAGCCAGGAGTGAGTTACAGGTGGCGTACGAGTCATTCGTCCAGAAGCTCAAGCAGCAACACCAGACCGACCGGACGGAGCTAGAGGACCGGCTTAAGGAATTCTACACCAAGGAGTGCGAGAAGCTGCAGAACATTTACATTGAGGAAGCTGAGAAGTATAAGACTCAATTGCAGGAGCAGGTTTGTGCTAGTGGAACAATCTTAATACATGAAAAAGTGTTTTTTATCTGATTATTTTCCTCTTGTAACCAAAGACATGCTTATAAGTTAAGTAATAGAAGAAAACAAAGAAAAGAAAAACTTAACAATTAACCCTTTATCCCACATCCCAGAAATAATCCCTTCCCAAGAACCTTGTATTTGACCTGATGAGCCATTTTTCTTTCATCTTTTTTGTAAAAGGGCCCTTGTTTAATAACTCACTTTCTCCTCTTAGCCCTGCTTCCTTTTTAACCCAGTTTTATTGGCACATATTTGTAGAGTGTCTGATCTATCGGGTGTGAACTGGGAGCTATGAAGATACAGTGGTCAGCACTTCTCAGCCTTTAAATCACTAAGATCAAGTGTGAAGATACAGTGGCCAATCAGTGGAACAGGCATGGGGTTTCTGTGGCTCCATCTCTAGGGAACACACCCTCAGTCCTTGTTTATGGACTCAGCTTATCCTGTCAGGCAGCCCAGGACACTGGATGGGAGGGAGAGAGTGGAAAGTCAGGAGTGGCATATCCAAGTCAGGTTTTTGGCAGGTTTGCTCTGTACTAGGGAGTCCCGAAACTTGAGTGTGAAAACCTGTGTTGTGTCGTGTAATGCTTCCTGTTTGTACAATGTAAAACTCCCTGATTTCTCTGGTAAACTGTTGCTTCATGTGTTTCTCATAGTTTGACAACTTAAATGCTGCCCACGAGAGCACTAAGTTGGAAATTGAAGCCAACCACTTGGAGAAAGTGGAGTTGCTGAAGAAGGCCTATGAAAGCTCCCTTTCAGGCAAGCATGCTTTTCCCCACGTAAACAGAGTAAGGTGGCCCGGAGCCCAGGACGTCTAGTTCAAGTGGAAAAGATTACTAACTTTCTCCTCCAGAGAAGGCAAGGGCATCCTTCATCAGAAAAGCAGCTGTGTGACGTCAGAGGTGATCTGGTGCAGAAGCTGCTGGCTCAGAGTAGGCGTGGAGTAGACACGTCTCCCTCCTGCCTGATAGAAATGAGCTTAACTGAATGCTCTAGTGCACCAGGAGCACCGTGGAAAGAGCTCAGGGGCTGCTGGTGAGCAGATATGGGCCGGTATTTGGGAATGTGCCCTGAGATGCAGAAGCTGGCTTTGCTAAGGGCTCATGGTCAGAAAGTGGAGAAATCTGCTCTCCCCTCCTTGGGGGCTGTTTTGAGAACAAATGGCATCATTTACATAGAAGCATCAGATACCTATAAAACCAGAGTTCTGTTACTTTGTAATCAACTCGTACATCCTTGGGCTGTGATGGTGGCAGGGTGTGTCCATTAATCTCGTGGAGTGGTATTCACTGAAAAAGTATCCTTTTCTTCACAGAAATTAAGCAGAGCCATGAATTGGAAAAGAAATCGCTGGAAGATTTGCTCACCGAGAAGCAGGAATCTCTAGAGGTGGCTGGATCTCAATTACCTCCCCCGACCCCCTGTCATCCTTCTTGAAGTTTGTGTGATTTGGGTCCAATTCTGTGTACACTGGCTATGATTCTGGTTCTATGTATTAACTTACTTTCTGCACTTCTTGCTATTCTAGAAGCAAATCAGTGACCTGAAGAATGAAAATAATGCTTTAAACGAAAAGCTGAAAGCAGAAGAACAAAAAAGAATCGCAAGGGAGAAGGCAAATTCGGTAGGTTGCGCATGCCCCATTATCACTGCTGTTTTTCTTCTGCCCGTTTGCTGAAGTCAATTAGAGAAACGATGCAGGTGTGGCATCTTTCTGTGTCCTCTGCTGTGCCTGTGAAACTGCACAGAGAACATGTTGATTGGTATCTTTTTTGCATCCTGAAGTCTCATCTGCAATGGAAATCCAATATTTTGGGTAGTTTAAGCTAAATACCTTCAGGAAAAAACTAGGAAGTGATGAACCAGGATGACCAGGATGAGGGTTGTATGTGGAGATGTCTTTTTTTTTTTTTTAAATAACTGCTATTTTTGAGATAGTTTATATACCATAGCATTCACTCTTTCATTTAAAAATGTAAAATTCTGTGGTGTTTAGTCTGTTCATAAAGTTGTACATTAGTATCCAACATCTGATTTTAAAATGCTCTTTAAAAATTACAAGCTGAAAGGTAGGAAAGAAATACAAGAGATAGACATCTTCCATCTGCTGGTTCACCCTCAGTGCTTGCAACAGTCTTAGCTTGATTGAGCCAAACCTGAGAGCCAGAAAGTCGATCCAGCTGTCCGTGGTGGCTGTGATGGACCCAACTGCCGAGCCGTCACCCACTCGCCCCTTGGTACATGTGTGTAGGAATTTAGAATCAGAAGCAGAATCCAACCCGAACCCAGGCCCTTCCGATAGGGGTTGTAGACATCCTCAATCACATCATAACTGAATACTTCTATCACCCGGAGAAGAAACCTTTATCTGTCAAATTATTTCCCATTTCTCTTAAGTTTTCCAGCATCAGAAAATCACACATTGATCACCTTTCTGTAACTCTCCAGACCCTGGAAATTTCATATAAGTGGGATGCTATAGCATGTGCCCTTTGGGACTGGCTGCTTTTAGAATACTGCTTTCCGTTCTCACCCATGCTGTAGAATGTTGGGACTATGTTCCTTTCTATGGATGAATATTTTATTATATGGATAGATGTCATTTTTAGGAAAGTGTAAATTCCCTGTTTAACCTTGTGTTTATCTTGCAGTATGTATCGTTACTCTTCTGTGATGGTGCTTTGAGAAAAAAAATTCTTGTTGTCTCTGTTTTTGGTCTTTATTTCCATTTATTTGTGTTCTGTGACTAAAGCAGCAAAGCCTTATTATATAAAAACTGTGGTCTGGGTGGGTGTTTGGGTAAAGTGCCCACAGCCTATCAAACTACTTGGTGCTACAAGTTGGTTTTGGCTCCTGATTTTTGCATTCCTACTACTGTACATCCTGGAAAACAGTGAGTGATGGCTAAGTTATGTTTCTGGTTCCCTTGTAGGAGACTTGGGTTGAGTTTCAATCTCCTGGCATTGGCCCTGGCCCAGGGCTGGCTAAATGGGCATTTGGGGAATGAATTAGTGAACAGAAGTGAGGTATCTCTCTCTCCATCTCCCTCTCCAGTATTTTTAAGTTAAACAATCTGCCTGCTCAGTGTACAAGTATGGATCCTCAGTGAGCCTCTCTAAAACATTCAATACAATTAAATGAAATCACAGGGAATCTTCAGTTATTTCTGGAAGACTTATAGGCAGTCAATAATTGCAGCATAAGTCCAACTTCCATGGAGAGTGTACACCTTATTAATAGCTCAAGGAGCAGGCTTTACAGAGCTGCTGGCACATGTTGGTGGCCAGTTCTGAAAAGCTAGGGGTTACTGAGGGAAGCAGTGCCAGCTGACATCTCCCTGTGCAGGTTGTACAAGAGGACTGAGTATGTAAGTAAAATGCAGAGGACTAGGAGGGCCAAACAGACACAACCGTGAAAGCTCTGATGCAAAAGTTGGCAGAGTCAGCAACATCATTGTTCTCTAACAAAAATGAAATAAGATTTATTTTGAGGATAACAAAGTTTCCAAAAGATCGTAGAGTTGAAGATGTGGGTATGATTTCTTACCCTTAGCCCTTCCCAGTTCTGGCACCCTCCCTGATCTTTCCCGAGTTAGTCACTGAGCCCACAGAACAGTCTCCTCTTCCCACTGAGTAGGGGTTAAACCAGGCAATCCCCTGAGACCTGTTCCCTGACTCCTCATAAGGACTGGCCCAGAGGGAAGCCACTAACCCACAGGCTAGCTCAGCTTCTCTCAGAAATCCCTCCATGAAGCTTGTGCTGCTAATTTGTATTATAAATGGAGAGGGACTTAGGAGTTAACCCAGGGATTGAGGGATTCATCTGAGTGGTGTACAGTGAAAGGATGTTTGCCCCTTAGGTAGAGTCCATGCCAGAGAGAATTCTGGTAGAATATTGCTCAGTGCTGTGTAGGCTGTGGATGCCTCAGTATAAATATGCTGTGATTGCCCTAAGTATGGCCAAGGCAACATAGTCCCAGTATCAGAAAATATCCAGAGACGCAGAACAGCATTGTGACTTTGCTTGCTTTCCAGAAAGCCCTATAAATATCCCGGACAGATACTGGCTCCGGTTAGATAGAACTCTAGTTCCCCTTTCTTCCTCCAAACACCAGTACAGAATCTGTGGGTTGCCTAACCTCTGTGCCAAGCCTGTTTCGTATGGCAAGGAGTGGCTTCTCACTTGTTTCCAATAACATATTCTCTATGAACAGTACTTTCCCATTGTAATTTACTCATAAATGAGCAAAAATGTTTTTTTCAATATATATGGCCAGAGTTTTTGAGATGGAAATTATTTCAGCTCGTCTTCTTTCACCTCTTTGGAACAAATGCAAGAGAAGGAAGTCCTGGATCCTTGTTTGTTAATGTCTGCATCTGTACAGACATTCTCTGTGAAGACTCTGCACTCTGTCATGTGAAATAATTCTGGACAATATCTGGCTGTACTCTTTGCAGAAAAGCCCTCAGCTCATGTATCTGGAGCAAGAGCTTGAAAGCCTGAAAGCTGTGCTAGAGATCAAGAATGAGAAGCTGCGTGAACAGGATGTCAAGTTAATGAAAATGGAGAAGCTGGTAGGTCTCCTCTGGGTTGCAAGTGTGGAAACTTCCAGAACTCCCAGAATCCCTGGGAGAGCGTGTTTAAGTTGCAAACCTAGAACTGTGGTGTTGGATTAACTGCTACTTAAAGGCTAGATTTTCTTTTCCAAGTATGTTCATGGCTCATTTCTTGCTACCTTCTGGAGCATTTGTTTTCCCATGGAACATGTAAAGTTGTCTTCAAATCTTGGAAAAGTAATGACAGACAAATCAGGTATACTCTTGAGTGATCTGCCCATCTTCATCACCATGGGAAAACTTTCAGTTTAAAATCCATGCTTTAATAGACCAGCAGCTCTGCACAGATTCCTCATGTCCCCAGCAGGTATGCAATTAGGCCATCTAAATTCATCTTGCTTCTCCCAAAATGCACCAGGAGAATCGTAATGCAATAGAAGAAATGTGCTTTAATGAGGCTAGCTCTGCTGGACAGGCAGCAGAAACAGTCGTGAAAGCTGGATAAGAGTAAGTTGGTAGCCTGTAGCACAGAGAACTGGTGTTGATGTGTAAAGAGTCTTGCCAGAACCCTGTTGGATGTGCTCAGTGTCAATGTCATTCTTGGTCAAGCACAATTGCCACTAGACAGGAAGCTGGTCGAATTGGCCGGGTTTGGCAAGGCAGCTTCAGTCGTCCTAACCAAGGCCATGCTTGCTGCCTACCTGTTCCTGCCATCTACCATTGCTCGCCTCTTTTGCCCCTAAGCAAGTAGCCCCCATTGAATTAGGAGTCTCTTTTAGACCCTCATAGAGACACTTGGGAGCCTGGAGGCCTTACTTTCCCATGATGAGGGAAATGACTGAGCCCATGTGTGAAAACACGGTCTCTTTAGATTCTGGTGCTGTTAGAGACAGACAGGAACTCATGGTTGTTAATGGGCTCAGCCTGCTATAGCTGCCACCCCTGGCAATGGTCAGTCCGTGATACCGAGCTATACAGCAATCTGAAAAGGAATGATGGCTCAGCTCACCCAATGAACAAAGATCTGCTATTCTATATGCCGCTCATCTGCAGTGAAAATACTGAGTTGTAACATGAGCCACACACTGCATTTCTGTTGGCCCAAGGAACAGTCAGCATTGCATTGCTGCAGATGTGGAAGAACGGATTGAAATGACAGGTTTTCCTGATGGACTTGTATGTTTGGGGCTTTAGAAGAAATTCTGGCATTTGGAGGTTTTTGACCTAAGATAGCTATGGCATGAAAATTAGTCTTGTGACACTATTCCCTCCTGTGTGATGTGGAGGATTAGGAGAAATAATCTTTTAAGGCCAATTGTCATAGCATCTTTAATTCCAAATCTTTTAATCATATTTTCTTTTGAATTCCTAATTCATGAGCCTTTTGAGCTCCCCTTTTTCTATAGTCTAGATCACATCCAGAAGAGTCTTTTTCAGAACTGCTTGCTATGCCTATCATGAATAACGGATGACTTAGGAGCGACAGGGCTCTAAACGGACCCGCATGAACAGGGTGGATTTGTGAGGCACCGGAAGGACTGTGCAGGAGCTGTGTGCTCACCTTGAAAAGGTGACCGGTAACCAAGCATTACGTTAGGAAGTGAGTGGGGCCGTAATCAGCTGTTCAGCACAGGAAGGATTGGCCTTTCCTCTTCCACTGGGTCTGTTTCGTGCACGTCTGGCCTGGAGACGCCTGCAGGAAAGCAGAGTGAGGAGGGTGGTCTGCCTGGACTAGGACAGCTTTCACTGGATGTTTTGTAAAGCTGTGTGGCAGAGCTGCTGTGTGTGACACACAGAGGTAAGTGTGGGTGACTGTTGAAGTCCATGAGCAGCATTGTGAAGAACAATACACCACTGGCCTATGGGAGAACATCAAATGGGGTTTTTTTCCACCTGCAAAATTCACTGTAAGATGTCATGGTTTTGGTAAACACAGGCTGTCCATCTTTGAGTGTTGGTTTTAGCACTATACTAGGGGAAGAGGCTGCACGCCCAGGGTAGGAGGTGGGAGTCCTTCAGCAGCCTGACCTAGGGCGTGTAGGATCCCCTCAGGGTGTGTCTGCTGTGGAGCTACCTTTGAATGTTATTCAAGCAGATCTTCCCATAAGATTCTGCGAGGGTAAATTGCATTCATTACAGCAAAAGCAGATCACAGGTCACCCCAGAGCTGTGGAACAGCCTTGATTTCTGGTAACACAGAAGAATCGCAGCTTTCTGGTCAACCTTGTGCGGCTCTGCCACCTTGTATTTCTGCTGCTTCATGTCAAAGTTCTCTCTTCCTGGTGTTGGGACTTGCACAGCTGCTGCGGCTTGAATAGCACTCGGGAGAGATTTGGGGATTCTGTCTTCATGGAGGTGGTGGCGAGAGATCGCTGGTGTGTCCTGTGCAGAGGAACCTGCTTGAGGGAAGGCAGCCCAGCCACCAGCTGGACCCCTGCTCAGCTGCTGCAGAAGCACCTCCCTCAGTGAGGAGGGTCTGGATGGTCCTGGGGACATGCTGGCTGAAGCTTCCTCCCCTGCTGATGGAGGGGCTTTTTGCCCTGGTGCAACAGCCTTCTAGGGACACAGTGAGAACGTAGTAGGCATCTTGTGCAGCTTAAGCACCCAGGTGCCACCATTCTTGTAGCAAGAATCTCCTCTTCAATCTCAGGCAAGGAAAACACATGCTTCCTCAGGCAGAAGGCCTTTCTGGAACACAGGGCAAACCAGGAGTGTGGCAGCCCCGCTCACAAGGACCAGCTTGCGGCCACAGTGGGACTTCGTTTGGCGGCTTTTCAGCCTTGAGGCTCTTGTGAACTTTGCCACCAGTGTGACTCACCTGCCTGGGCTGGATATCATCTTAAGGTCCAGAGATGGAGCTGTCTGACCCACCATCTTACAAAGTGGGAAAGAGCATACATTTAGGAAAAACACAAATGTACTGCTTTGATGCTTTCTGTGTTTCTCTGCATAAATATTTCATTAGGCCATTACATTTGTTTTGGTTAAGTCTCTCTGAAGTATGCTTGTGTGAGGAATGTAACTGAAGGAACGAGGGCTTCTTTCTTTTTCTTTGTTTGACTTCCTGTTGACTCGTAGGTGGACAACAACACAGCATTGGTTGACAAACTGAAGCGCTTCCAGCAGGAGAATGAGGAGCTGAAAGCACGCATGAACAAGCACATGGCCATTTCCAGGTAGCATCGCAGGGTGCTGGTTCCTCTGAGCCCTGCCTTCCTTGAACCTCCATCTAGTGGGACCCTATTGCCACACTCCCCCAAATGAACCTCCTGGCCGTGCTATTGACACAGGTAGTGGAGAGATGCTCATTTCTCTCTGGAAAACATTCCAGCAGGCCATGCCTTTACCCAAGTCTCCTGACACCTACACCAGCAAGCCTTCTCCAAACCCTGACTTCATAACTCGGGGAACACCAAGAGAAAAAGCAACACAAAAGCAAATAGAAAGTAGTCCCAAACATGAGAGATTCTTTTTGGTAAATACTTTATGTACTTGGGAAAGAGTTACAAAGAGATCTTTCATCCACTGGCTCACTCCCCCCAAATGACCCCAGTGACTAGGGTTGGGCCAAGCCAGGCCCTCTCTCTGGGTCTCGCATGTGGGTGCAGGAGTTTAAGCTCTTCGGTCATCTTCCACTGGTTTCCTTGGTGTATTACCAGGGAGCTGGATCCAAAGTAGAGCCACTTGGACTCAAACTGGATGCTTAACCCACAGCACCATTCCCGAGACAGTCTTAACTATGTAGTAGAAGGCAGCGCCACAGCACAGTAGAGTAAGCCTCTACCTATAGCACCAGCATCTTTCACTGGTGCTGGTATGTTTCCCAGCTGCCCAGTGGGATCCAGTCCCTTGCTGAAAGCTTGGGAAAGCAATGGAGGATGGCTCAAAGCCTTGGAACCCTACACCTACATGGGAGATCCGGAAGAAAGTCTTGCTATTGGCCCGGCTCTGACCATTCCAGCCATTTGGGGAGTGAATCAATGTTTAGAAGACTACTGTCTCCCCTCTTTGTAACAGTCTGTCAAAAATATAACATCTTTTAAAATGACATACATCATACTTCGTGGAGGAGCGTCACCCATCCTGCATGATGTGGCAACCAGCCGCTTTCATTGGTGGGAGGACACCTCACACTCATCTTCCCTGCCTTGAAATTTTTTAGCCAAACACCCGTCACCCTGTGCAAGATCCTGTTCTAGTTCAAGGGAAGACTTTGTTCAGGTTACTTTGTCACTTTGATTTCTGGCTCTTTTCTGTTTCCAGGCAACTCTCCACAGAGCAGGCCGTCCTGCAGGAGTCGCTCGAGAAGGAGTCCAAAGTCAACAAGCGGCTCTCCATGGAGAACGAGGAGCTGCTGTGGAAGCTGCAGAACGGAGACCTGTGCAGCCCTAAGAGGTCACCCACGTCCTCAGCCATCCCCTTCCAGTCACCCAGGAATTCAGGCTCTTTCCCCAGCCCCAGCGTGTCCCCCAGATGACGCTTCTGGAAAGCAGCAGTGCCATCTGGGAGCGTCTGGAGGCAGATCTGCAGGACCCGAAAAATGGACACGGGAGCAAGAGCTGCGTGAGCTCATGGCACGTGACCCGTGACCGTGGGATAGCTGGAAAGGCACCTCCCCCGGGATCGGCTCTGGGGGAAACAGACTCGGCAGGAAGACTGCAGGCTCCCACCCAGTGACTGGTCCAGACAAGGTTTTGGAATCGCCGTGGACATTGTTGCACAAAGCACTTAGAGAATGACAGAATCTTGTTCATTGCCTTTTCCACCTAAGCGTAAGGGGAAAAACTCTCAGGGGCTTATTATGATAAAGATTTATAACCTTTATAATGTCCTTCACCACAGACACCTTCTTGTGATTTCTACTTTGGTCTGACTGCAGGTGCAGGGAGCGTATGCATGAGATGGATGGAAGAGTGTTCTGTGTCTGACACAGCTGGCCTTGCTGTACAGTGAAGGCCAAGTCTGTCTGTATGCACTCATCCAGGAATGGTCTTGTGTCCACATTTCAGCCAAAGCCATAGCGGAAAAAGCAATAGTTGCTTGAATGACAGTTGCTCATCACCAACTTTGCTCAGCTCTTGGACATGGCAGAAAGAGACAGAACATGCCTGGCCCGTCAGTGTCTGTAGTTCTCTTTCTGGAGCAACTTGGTGGTTTTTCCCATGTTCAGCCATGTCTGTTGAATCTAGCTAGACTTTTTTTTTTTTCTGAGAGGTTTTTCTTATCCACATGAACCTAATACTATATGATGACCCATTTTCTCAGGCTATGAGCAAATGTAGAGCCCTAGTTCTTTTTTTAAAAAAATCTGTATAGAAAACAAGGGCAGTATGAATGATTGTTGTACCTTGTTTTTTTACCCTGGTCTAAGCTATCTTGACAGATCTGAACTCGTCTTCTCTCCTAGTATCCTCTCCTCCCTCTGCTTTTCCCTGCCTCAAAAGCAAACCTCCAACTTCCCACCTGCTTCTCTGGACTGAGGTTAAAGGAGTGTTTTCTCCAGAGCCAGCTCTTCATCAAGGTGCTGACATCATTTCTCAAACACATGGAGATCTGAACCTGATAACATTTTGGAAAATGAAGAATGAGACGGTCACTGGCTTGTAGCAGACAGACAGAACTCGGCACTCGCGAATGAGTCGATGCACCTTGCTTCAGCCAGTGTTTGGGTCTCCTAAACAGTCGGGGAAAAGATTTTTTTCAGGTACCCTCTGTCTTTGGGACGCGAGCAGAATGGCAGCCACTGAGGGGAATTTGTGGTTTTTACAACTCTTCACCAAGGTTCATTTCAATTTATTTTCAAAACTTCACTTATAACCTCCCCTAGTTCTAAGCCTTTCGGAGCACTGGAGGAGGACCCGTGGCTTCCCCTCCCTCTCCCTGCATGTGACATCAGTATTTACTAATCAGCATACAAGTAACCCCTGTGGTAAAGCAGATTGCGGTTACTACAGGGGGGTATTTGACATGATTTCTATGTATGCTATGTAGCAAATGGATATCCACCATGCTGTCTGATTTTTAGTGATTGTATCTGCCGTCTTTAAGCTCCCATAGTTTCTTTTGTATGTTACCCTTCCTACTGCTGGTAAATGAGAATGTAGATCTACTGCCCCCTCCTGGAATATCTCTGCTCATGCACTCTAGTTCTCAAGGACTTTAGCCAAAGTTGGGTCAGCTGTTCTTCCCCTGCACTCGGTAAGTCTTGTGCTCTTCCCTGCTGTTCTTCATCCCATGTAAGTGTCTGGAAAACCAACCTCACAGCAATTTATGCAAACCATCTTCAGAGGGTGGAGAGAAGATAACAAACGAGAGAACTTTTAAGATGTTTTTCAAACCAAATGTTTCACGTAGGATGCAACATGTTGGCACCTCATAAAAATATGGAAATACAAACAACGGTAGTTGTGCTGTTTGTAGTGATGGAAAATGTATTTTACTTTGATCAAATAAATAATGCTGGAATATTCAATGTTTTAAATCATTACCCATTTGATGGCCTTAACTGCAGTGGTATGAGAAAGGCTATGTTCTCTTTAGATTGGTTGTGTTTGAAATTTATGGGAAGCAAATAGCTGGTCATGGGCTGAGATTTGGCTCATGAAGTTAGAATTAGATACCAGCTATTCTAAATCTTAAAATAGATATTTTTTTTAAAAAAAATTAATATTGGCTCTATTATGGCATCAGAAGATAACAGCTGAAGTCTAAGTAATTTTGAAGTTGGGCTATGCAAGATTAAGTCTGCTTTGCCCTCTGCATCTATTATAATTAAAAGTTCAAAAAACACAGGCTAGCATTGTGACAGGGTAGGTGATGCTACCACTTGCAACATTTGTATTTCATATCATAGCATGGGTTTGTGTCCTGGCTGTTTCAGTTCCAATCCAGCTTTCTAACACTTGAGAAGGCAGAAGATGGCTTGGGGCTGCTCTCACCCCAGTAGGGGGCAAGAAAGGAGCTCCTCACTTCTGCCTTCATCCTGGCCAAGATCTGATTGTGCAGCCATTTGGATACTGAACCAGTGAATGGGAGACCTCTAACTCTGCCTCTCAAGTATATTTTATAATGAGTGAATTAACTTTGAAATAAAACTAACATTTTTAGATCTAGAAAAGCAGAAAGTAAAGTGGAGCAAGTTCTTCTCCGCTGGTTCACACCCCAGACATCAGCCAGAGCAGAAGCTGGGTCAGGCTGAAGCCAGGACTCACCTCAGGTCTCCCAAGTGGATCGAGGTACCCATGTACTTGAGCCACTGTCTGCTGCCTGCCAGGCTTTGATGCATCAGGAAGCTGGGTTCAATAGCACATCAGAGATAAGCTGACATAAGCAGCATCTTAACCACTATACCACACACCCACTGAATATTTACGTTCTCATGTATTATGCCTTTTACATCAGAATACTAGACTTCCACCCATTGATGAATGCCAACAAGATCCGATGGATGAATTTTGAGCCAACCTAAAAAAAAAAAGCTAGATGTCTTTTTAACAAAATCTTGCTCATTTAATAGATTATATAAGGTTTATATATATATGCTTTCTTCGTATACCAACTAGAAACAGGTAAGAAATCAAAATGCATGCTGTTAGGTTACCACTCTTATAGACTGATGCCTTCCTTCCAGCTTGGAAGTCTGGGTCTGATTCACTTGAGTCCCCAGCAAAGCACTCCATACAAAGAACCCTGAAGCAGTAGGTTGGATACAAACAGGCTTTCTAGCAGTTTACTGTACTTAACTTTCCCATTCAGGAAAACTCAACCGTGGTAGCCACCGTCGTCTGTCCTTGAGGATTCTGAGCAGTACAGATGTAGTACCCTGCATCAATGGTCTCGAAGTCTTCCACTGTGATGACACTCTGCGAGATCCTGGTGGTGTGGCCCAGGCCTCTGTGAACCAGCCTCCAGGTGTCTTGAATTGTCACTGGCCTCTCATCCTGTTGAATGACACCAGCACAGAATGAGACACCAATGAATATGCTGTTATGAGCAGCATAAACATCTCCCATGCCCCCAGCACCAATGGGCACCTTTCAAAGCACATGCTCCCAAGAGATGGTGCAGCTGATGGGCTGTGGGAGCTTTTCCATCTGAGGATGCATTTTCTCAAGTGCAGCCAAGAATTTCAGATAAGCTGCATGGTACACGTCCTGCCTGCCCCACCTCCCTTTAAACATTTCTACTAAATATACCATGTATTCTTTTAGAGCCCCCAAGAAAGCAGAGTTGGTTTAAAGAAACTTTTTCACCACCCCATTTGGACATTGCCCACTTTTGTCCCTTAGCTAAATGATCCTAACAGGATTTAAAATCAGAAGCCCGAAGCACGCACTCACTGTGCAAGTCAGTAAGAGCCACAAGTTGTGCAGATCTGGATGAGAAGTTTCAGCTGGCAGCTGTGCCATAGGACAGTGGCAGGGAAAACAGCACCCGGATGAAGAAGGTAACACCCTGGGGGGTGCTGACGTGGGCACACAGCGCTCCAGCCACCGGGGACTTTGGCTTCGTAAGCTGGTAGTGGTTTGAATGCTGGCTGTTCTATTTCTAATCCAGCTCACTGCTACAGTGCTCAGGAAGGCATCAGAAAATAGAATACTTGGGGCCCCGCTAGCCATGTGAAACTCAGATGGAGCTGCAGGCTCCCAGCTTCCACCAGCTTAGTCCCAGGGATTCAGGGAGTGAACCAGATGAAAGATCTCACCTTTCCTCTATTCTTGTTTGCCTTTCCAATAAATAAAAATTGTTTAAAAATCCCTAGGTGATAAAAACTGCTTATTTGTTAAAGTGAGATGGTCACTTTCAAGATGTTCCCACCCACGTTGGTATAATGGCCTCTGAATTTATGTAACAAAGCTAATATTGTAAATACTACTAAATAACTTTTCATAAAACAACTTGCAATAGGAGGAAAGCAATTCTCTGCTGAAAGCATTAGTTTTCTAAGTGTGACAAGTACAAAGTCCCAGGAGGCTACAACATGGTCATTTCCAAGGGGAGTTATTTTCCACCAGTCACAGTCCCCAGGCCACAGCTGTATGGGCTACTCCGGAACATGTCTTGGGAGGACAGGTAACTTCTGGCCACAAAGGGATTATTTCACCCTGATGACCAAGCTGCTTAATTTAGTGAGCAGGGCATGTGCCATAGCTGCTTTTATGGGAAGTCTATTTAAAAACAGAACTAGCCTCATAGCACCTCTGAGGTAGGGCCCTTGTTCAAATTCCCACGTGGGGGACATCTGCTCCCCACAGCCCTCAGGTTGCCTGGAGAACACTGAAGGATTGCAGACAGAGTGGATGAGCCACAGTAGAATCAACTGAGGACTGGGGTGGGAGGATGCTCCCTTTTGTGCCAGTGCCTCATTCAGGATGTTGGGATAGCTGCACTTGAAGAGGATTCTGCTAAGGACAAACTTGCCTTTTGAAAACAAGTCTGGTCACATTCTGAAAACTCTGAGCAGAAAACAAGCAGATGCTGACCCCTTAGGTAGTCCCACACACTCCTTAAAGTCAGGGCCTGTGCCGCCCCGGGAGGGGTCCAAACTGAGTGACAAGGGCTGGCTGCAACCAGGATGTGGCACTTACCTTCTGCCCTGGGAAGATCCACCTGAATTCCACCTCCACGTCAGGCTCCCCCAACACTGTGCAGAGCACACTGATGTTGTCCCCACCTTTCACTTTGTTGGATGACGCCAGGATGGTGGTCGACGGAGGGCCGCTGGGAACTGGAAGGAAGCAGGAGCGTGGGCATGACACAGACCACCCTACTGACGGGTTCTGCTCTCTGGTCCACTTGTTGCCTCACTAGCTTTGATTTCCTTTGATGCTACTGATGTGTCTATGTTGGTGACCCTGGCTGAGGGAGTCCTGCAGACCCCCAGGTCCTCACACTATGCTTGCAAGTAAGGGAGGAGTCTAGCAGGCCTTGTAGGGGGGTCACCTGAGGGGGAAGAAGGTACTAGGGGGAAAAACAAGTCCAGTGCAGTGGAGAGAGCTAAGAAGATGACATCCAAAGGAGTAGCAATGGCCCGAGGTACATGGCTGCCCCATCCTCAGATGTGAATGGAAAGGTGAAGGCAGAAGGGCACAGAGTGAGGAGGAAGACAGTGGCCCAAGTGCCAGGACCTTCAGTGTGTGTCATGATGGGAAAGGAGAAGAGTATGTGTGGGTGGGCCCACCGGAGCACAGCCTCTGAGGACCAGGAGCTCAGGGCAAAGGGCACGAGCCCAAGAACGGCACCCGTCTCTAGGACTGGAGGAGATGGACAAAAGGTTTTTGGTTTAAAAAGTGGCTGTGAGTCTGTCCTGCAAGGAGGTCAGAGGGCTGGCTGGTCAGGGTGGAAGAGGGAATGTGGAAGGATCCAGAGGGTGTTGGGTCAGAGCCACAGGTGAAGATATACAACATTCTAGAAGAGGCAGTGCAGCAGAGCCTTTCTGAATGGTGTTCTGTGCCTCATTATTTGGTCTACAGGTAGGCACAGCCAGTAGCTGACGCCAGTGTGCGGTAATGATGGAGAGGCAGCCCCAGGATTAACAGACTCACCCTCCGCATAGAGCAGTTGGTACTTCACGGAGATCTGAGACTTGCCTCCGGCTTCAGCCTTGCAATAGACCACCCCTTGGTGGTCAGAATGGGGTTGCAGATACACAAAGCCCCTCTTCAGGTCATAAATAATGTCTGACCCGTTGGCTGGGATCTCCTTGGCGGGGAACTCACTGTGGAGCGTGACCTTGGCAGACAGCACAGTCACTCGACAAGGAACCACAGCCTGCCTGTCTGGGTTCAGGTAGACAACCTCGAAGTAGCTGGAAGAAGGCACAAAGAGTTCTCCTTTCTCTGTGAAGAGAAAGACAGGGTTAGGACCTGTGCCCAGGGCACAGGATGGGCATCCACAACGAGGAAGCAGGCTAGGAGACAGACTTCCTTAAGGGGAAAGTGCTTTTAAACCCTTGAAGCAGCTGGGGGAAGCAGCCCTAGAGGCTGCTGAAGGTCACTCTCAGGCTAGAGGGGTCTCAGCTCCTCTGGGACGCCCAGCTCAGTGACATCTGTCCTCAGGGACAGGGGACTCCTGGTCCTCACGGCCAGGGGACTCCTGTCTGCCAGGGTGGTGGGAAGCAATGGAACAGGGCAGGAGAAACCTGCCGATCTCAGCTCTGGGCTAAACATGACCAACACCCATGTGACCACCCTCTCACTGCCCCCCCACCATTGCCTCTGCCATTCATCCCACCTTAGTTCTGTAAGCTCCAGAAGAAGGCATTTTTTTTGTCTCAGGAACTGGAGAAAGGAGGAGTGACTTATTTTGACTATTTAGGAGAGTCCAGACACTCTAGGTTGAGCTTCTTGAATGTTCTGTTCATGGCTTAGGCATCACACACTCCTTAAAATGTTTTCCTTTTTTCTAGATCATTCTGTGAGAGCTACATAATTGGTAAGAGAAATGTCTGGGACAAATCATGCCCCAATACATGTTATACTATTTCCTATGTTTTCTCTGAAGTTTTCTTGAAACCAGTAGTTACTCTTGGCTTTCTGCACTGGCTGCCTTTGTATCCCAGGTGTGTGAAGTCTTAGGTTGAGGACAGAATACCTGGACACATTGTCAGATGTCTCCATGGGCCCCACGTCCTTCAGCACTGAGCAGCTGGCTCACTAACCTGGAGGCCTTTCCTCTTGGTTCTTTGATCAGAAAACGGAATGCCATCACCCCTCAAGTGGCCAGCTTTGCAGCCTCTGCATCAGAGGTGACTTGTGCTACTATCCAATGTACTGATTTTCAGGCCGCTTTATTCATACTGTGCCTGACACCCAGCTATTCATACCAAGTCCATATGGCCGTGTGACACCATCCCTGTGTGCTTCATCCCCTACTAAATACCGCTTTGGCAAAAGAGCTAAGAATTTTCTGACGGCTCCATTAGAAGGATAAGTAGAGTAATTTGAACCAGCAAGGTAAGCCTGGAAGCTAAGGAACTCATCAAACTTCAGATCACAAGCATGGCACCCTACTTCCTGTATGGCAACACATGCCCTGAAGAGACTACACTAGTAGCTTTGACAATTAGCTTCCATCTGGAGGGGGAAAAAATGTCAAAATTCACTTTAAAAATTACAGATTGTCATCTGCAAATATATTTATATGTGCTCCTGCAGATGAAAAATTAAATACATGGATTTCAGATTTCCAAAAAACGAGTTAGTAGGCTGTTATCTTAAATTCAAATTATACCAAACCCCATATTTAGTAAATATGTATTGATGTCATTTTCCCTCATGTGACAATCAGAGCGCCAGCCTTTTCCCAGGAGAAAGCCCTGTGGCTGGCTGTGTTCTCATCTTTGATCTGTCTGGGTGCTGTTTTGTTTGCTTACTGAAGGATAATTTATTGAGCTATATGCTTAGCATTTGAGTGGTTTTCTCTATGTATGCTATTCTATAATAAAAAATGAGAGGGAGAGAACCCCTCTCACATCCCCTTGGATAAAGATAAAAGAGGCATACATGTGGCAGTTACTCAACCCAAAATGTCACAAATTAATGCCAGCTCCCCCAAAGAAGCCTCTACAGTGTTTTAACCAAAAACTCTAGGAAACAGACAGACATAATGAAAGCAGACTTTTCTCTGCATGGACAGCTGGGAAGCGTATGTTCAAAGAGTCCAAAGCCAGCACCAGGAATCTCAGCTTCTCTAACAGCTTGTCCTGGCTTGAAAAGCACATTGCTGAAACCTATGCTGAACGTCCAAATGTGTTCTTAGCTGAGAGATGAGAAAGTGATACATTATGTAACCTCCCTTTTAAAACACAGCTTCCCTGAGCCACAAAATAGACTCTAGCCTTCCTTTAGTTCACACGAGGATTTCAGGAGAGAGGATCTGCCCTCGGTACTCCAAGGGACCTCAGGCTCTAATAATAATTTCGGGTCAAGTGAAGCCATCAGCTCAAACTTCAATAAAGGACCAATACTGTGTCACAGTGGGTTAACCCAACACTTGCAAGACCAGCACCCCATGTTGGAGTACTGGCTTGTGTCCCAGCAGCTCTACTTCTGATCTGGGTCCCTAATAATACACCTGTAAAGGCAGCAGAAGGCAGGCCAAGTGTTTGGGCCTTGTCGCCCACAACAGCAGACCCAAATGGAGTTCTGGCTTCTTGACTTTGGTCTGGCTCTTGTGGACATTTTGGAAATTAATTTGTAGATGGAACACAGATTGATCAATTGATCAATCTCTCACACACTCTCCCTCTCAAATAAAACAAGTTTTGAAAAAAGGTGTCTACTTATTTTCTAATAATATTATGGAATCTTAGCTGCTTCTAGAATTGTGGCATGGCCCTGCTACCTCATCTTTCTGTCAAACTGTTTGGGAAAGAAGAAGAAAATACAATGGTGGTTCAAAAAGTTCATGCAAATACACATAAAAAAACTACATGGACTTCAAACTTTGTGCTAGAATATATTTACTTTTTAAATGCCATTTTCCATGAACAACTTCTTAAAAACTTATTTATTTGAAAGGCAGAGAAAGAGGAATGGAGGGAGTAGGAAAGTGGAAGAGAGAGAGCACTCTTCCATCCACTGGTTCACTCCCCAAATGGCCACAAGCACCAGAGCTAGGTAAACCCGAAGTGGGAGCTAGGCGCTTCTTCTAGGTCTCCCATGTTGAGTGCAGGGGCTCAAGAATGTGTGCTATCCTCTACAGCTTTCCAAGCACATTAACAGGGATTGGAAGTGGAGCAGCCAGGACTAGAATTCGTGCTCATATGGAATGCCAGGTTCTGCATGTGGAGGAAGAGCCTGCCCTGTGCTGGCCCCATCCATGAACTTCCTAAAGTACCTTCCCACATGAGACCCTGCTAAAACCTCAATGCTCAGAGCATAAGAACATTTGGGTCAAGGCTGGCATTATGGGTTGCTGATCAAGCTGCCACTTGCAATGCCAGCATTCCGTATGGCCAACGGTTCAAGTCCCTGCTGCTGCAGTAACCCATCTCCTTGATAATGTGCCTGGGAAGCCAACAGAGGATTGCCCAAGTGCTTGAGCTCCTGCATCCAAGTAAGAGAGAAAGCTGCTGGCTTCTGTGTATGGCCTGGCCCAACACTGGCCACTGCAAGTAAACCCGGGGATAGAAGAGCTCTGTGTGTCTCACCCTAACTTGACATTTCAAATAAATGTTTTTTTTTAAAAAAAAATCATTATTTTTTAGGATTATAGTCCTAAATCACACCAGGTCTGAAAGGCAGATGGACTTGGGAGGTAGATAATTCCCATAGAAGGCCTGGCCCCAGGGCCCAACACAGTAGCCTAGTGGCTAAAGTCCTCACCTTGCATGCGCCAAGATCCCATGTGGGTGCTGATTTATGTCCCAGCTGCTCCACTTCCCATCCAGCTCCCTGCTTGTGGCCTGGGAAAGCAGTAGAGGGACAGCCCAAAGCCTTGGGACCCTGCACCCATGTGGGAGACCCGAAAGAAGGTCCTGGCCCCTGGCTTCAGATTGGCTTGGCTCCAGCCACTGTGACCACTTGGGGAGTGAATCAGAGGATGAAAGATCTTTGTCTCTCCTCTCTGCAAATCTGACATTCCAGCGCTTCACCTGAAATGCCCTGGCTGACAGAGGCCTGAGGGAGGGGAACAGGCAGCATTCCTCCGCTCTGCCTGACTTCTGAAGCTTTCCAAGAACTTCGTCCCAAACTTCCCAGAGCCCTGCGGAGCAGCTCAGCCAGGGAACTCCTCTGCAACACCACCACAGGGAGCAAGAGGTCCCCATTCTGACCCGCACACCGAGGGCTGGGACTGACTTTAGAGCCACACAGGCCGAAGCCTTTGCCAAGCCTGCCCCCAAACCTCAGGTCACAATGCTCATAGGAAGATGTGAAGGAAGTTGTTGGGAGAGCATTCTTTAATTGTGGACGTTCCAGAAAGGAGATGATCACAAGTTCTGCAGCGAGGTGATGAAAAATTGCCAGCAGGAGTTGGTGTTGTGTGGTGCAGTGGGTTAAGCACTGCCTGTGACACTGGCATCCCATACTGAAGCAGTAGTTCAAATTCCAGCTGCTCCACTTCCTATCCAACCTCCTGTCAATGCCCACCTTGAAGGGCAGCAATGGTGACCCTAGGACTTGGCCCTTGCCACCCACTTCGGGGACCTGGATGGAGTTCTTGACTCCTGGGTTTAGCCTGGCAAATCCCTGGCCATTACGACTATTTGGGGAATAAAACAGCAAATGGAAGTGTTCTCCCTTTCTCATAGATAGATAGATAGATAGATAATCATTCCATTGCTTGCCCTTTCAAATAAATATTTAAATTTAAAAAGTCACCAGCAGCATTTTCCAGTGGAGCTTGCTGCAATGGTGGAAATGTTCTCACACTGCTGTGTTCCATCTCCACCAGCCAGGCACTGGGACCTGGCTATGACCCTGCAAACCAGGCAAGTATGAAGAGGAAATAAACCTTAATTTTAATTAACTCTCAATTATACCAAAGTGGCCACGTGCATCTAGCACATTGGACAGTGCATGTACACAACCTGGAAGGAGATGACCCTGTGTTTGAATCCTGGCGCCACCACTTCCCTTCTGCGTGACCTTAAAGACTACTTACTCTTTCTCAAGCCTCAATTTTTCTATCAAGAAAAAAAAAATATGGGTTGTTAGAAGGTTTCCATGAATTCACTTGTGTGAATAATGAATGTTGGCGATGTCATTGTTTTCTGTTTGCTCACAGGTCCAGAACTTTGAAGACTTCCCCTAACGCACTCAACGTTTCACCTGGGAAGAGGATGTAGGTGGAGCCCTTCTTGGCCTCGTCCCTCCTGCAGATGTCGCCGTCGCAGAGCTGCCCCCAGCAGCTGAACTCCCCAGTGTCGGCTGCGGTGGAGTTGACCAGGGTCAGCTGGCCATAGCGCTCATGCTGCTTGACACTGTGGATGAGAGAGAGAGGAAAGACGGGAACTCAGAGCACATCTGGGCTAGGCCAGGGCCCTCTAGTCCTCACTCTGCTCCATTGTTCTCAGACGTCAGTACCCAGTCATGCAGGACAGACTGGCATGCCCTCTCTCCGGTGGCACCAAGTTACACAGGACGGTGTTTGGGGAACACAAGAGTATAAGGGAAGGCAAAAAGAGAAGCCTTTCCAAAAAGAAGCAATGAGGCACAATCGTGTTTTCCAAGGAGAGGTAGCTCTTTGACCTCAGAGCTGGGGTTTCTGTGGGTAAAATCAGGGGGACATGCACCTCTGTGGCTCAGCTGGGAAGCTTGGGGCTGGTTTTGCCATCATCGCCCAGCAGTCTAAGGAGTCCATCTAAGAACCAGCCACATGAATGAAGCACAGAGCAGTGTCCCTCCGGCTGTCAAAATGCCCCTTGGCCGTGAGGACAGCTCTGTGAATGTAAGCCTGCGACCTGATGGATGATGCTACTTTGTCACATTAATAGAAGCTTCCTTCAGGGATAAATGCACAGGCAACTGAGCCCCAGGGAGACGGTTTTCTCTATTTTCTCTCTCACATTTCTATCTTGCTGTCTGGCAAACTGACTTGGAAACTTCTTCAGTTTTGCAGTAAGGAGACAAAAGATCTGGGTGATCATTAAACAGGAGCGTGGGCCGGTTGCAGTGGTAATTAGCTATATTGTGACAGGAACCAGGATGTGTCATTCCTACAGTGGAAATAGGACAAAAGCACTATTTGTAATGCTTTAGCACAGGGCTTCATTTCACACATCCAAATATTTCATTCTTCAGAGACCCACATGCTTTCCTGATGTAGTCAAGTCTCCTGTTAGCTCGCAGCAATAATAAGGTCACCACTCTAAATTTAGCACACGACAAAATGTCTGGCTGGTTGGTCCTAAACACAGCCCTGTCCTGGGTCACCGCTGAAGAGCTTGTTTTGCCCACAGTCCTGCCAAGAGGTGCCTCTGCTCTCCCACTCCATCAGCTGCTCCCTTTAATCCCTCCTCCTTCAGGAAGCTTCTGATTAGACCTGACTCCCAGCAGTCTCCTCCCTTTCAACTGATGTCATCGGCTCCCAGCTTCTCTGTCCCTGCGATACCTTGGGCTTCCTGGCATTACACAAGAGGCTGCAACTCCACCATGCTGGTTTAGTATTCCCTGAGCACACGCCTGTGCGGAGCACACAGCAGAGTCCTCAAACATGAGTCCATTGCAATTGAACTATGAAGTTAAAAACGCAAACCAGCTGGAGAAGCAGGAATCCAGTGCTCTCTTTCTAAAATTTATTTTTATTGGAAAGGCAGATATGCAGAGAGGAGAGACAGAGAGGAAGATCTTCCACCTGATGGTTCACTCTCTAAGCAGCCGCAATGGCCAGAGCTGAGCCAATCCGAAGCCAGGAGCTCTTCTGGGTCTCCCACGTGGGTACAGGATCCCAAGGCTTTGGGCCATCCTCGACAGCTTCCCCAGGCCACAGGCAGGGAGCTGGAAGGGAAGCTGGGCCGCCAGGATTAGAACTGGAGCCCATGTGGGATCCCGGGCGTGTGCAAGGCGAGGCCTTTAACCACTATGCTATCACAAGGGGCCCATCCAGCTCTCTTGCTTTGTGGATGAGAAAATTGAGTCCCAGCAGGAGTGACTCTCTTGAGTCCCAGAGCTAGTGAATAAGTAGGCAAGTCTTAAGTCAATTACAAGTGTCCTGAATAGTCACTCATCAGATAAGAACATGCATATGCCTAGCATGATGCCTAGCTTATTGCATTATCCTCACTATAACTTAATTACACATAATTATAGGTTAGTAGTGATCACTACTACCACAATGCCTAATCATTTGCATGCAGTGCCAAGATGATGGTTAACAACAGATAAAAAGCAGTGGCCCTTCAGGAAATGACAGTGCAGTTAGCAGAAACTGCTGTGGTTTGGATGTGGTTAAGCGCGTCCTGCTCCCTTCCCTCTCCCCCAAGGTTCCACATGGTGGGACCTTGATCTCCAACTTGGATGAGAGAGGGGAGACATTTAAGAGGCATGGCTCAGTGGGAGGCCGGAAGAGTTGAAGGTAGGTCTTACAGAACCCTACTTAGTTCTCATGGGAGGGCTGTTATTCAAGAGCAAGACCACCCTGCGGAAGGTGGTCCCAGGGCAATTGGTGGAGTCCCCTAATACAAAGCATAGATAAGCTCCCCCTGCACCAAGAGGTGCAAATCATCTCCCTGGCAAAATCTCTTGGACCACAGAAAACTCATCCTAACTGAGGAAATATTACAGTCACCAGTATGCCTCTTGCATCATAGTTTGTATTGAAATAGACAACCTCTGGCTTCCCCTTACAAGTATAAGGCAACAGTCACTCTAAGAAGGGACAGCCACCGCAGGTGGGACTCCAGAGACTGCGGTCTGTGCGGCAGCGATCGTCACCTCCTGCCTGGCCCACTTGCCCCTGCAGTATGTTCAATAACCCTGGCCCTGCTTTCCATGTGCTCCGGGAATGCTTCCCCTGCCGCAGCACCTGCTTCAGTCAGTCGCTTCCCACGACATGGCCCCTCTCTCTCCAACTTCCTGTCTTGCCACACAATCTGTCGCCATGCCGTCCACCAGAGCCTACCCCATGGTGGCAACATGCCCTTGAACCTCCAAAACTGAGCTTTACAGACCTCTTTAGAAGTACCCTGCTTCAGGCATATACTATTACAATGGAAAGCAGGTGAACACAAGAGTTAAAACTAATATTCACAAACAGGTTGCAGAATCACTGGATGGCTTCTTACAACAATGACAGGGATTCTGAGAAGGCTTCCTCACTGTGGCCTGAAAAGGTTGCAGACTGCTTTGAGGAGGAGGTGAACTGGGCCTTTAGAGGGCAAAGCAGAGGCACCTAGCATTACTGGCTTGCTGAGAAAACTTCAGTGAGGATAATGAGGGACCTGGTCTGCTGGGACCTCAGGACAGCGGCTGGGAGGTGCTAAGGACTTGCTCCATTAACCACAGAAACAGGCAGCTGGGAGTCACGGCATACTGTTGAGAAAATGCAGAGGACTTCACAGTTTACTCAACAAGCATGAGGAACTACCCTCAGTTTTGGAGACAGGAAGCGAGGTGACCAGCCTGGCAGGGGTGTGAACAGAAGGAACTGGAGTGGAAGAAGAGGAAAAGGCCCAAGAGGCTGCCAGGAGCTTCGGGTGCTGGGGTGCAGGCTGGGGTGCAGGCTGGGTGTGGACGATGCAACGGAGCACACCTAAGCACGAACTTTTGGAGGATTTTGCAGGGACTTAGGGTGTGGGGGTAGAAGAGAGACATCAGGAATGACCACACCGTGTGTACTTTGGTTTGTACATGTTGTCTGCACAGTAATGGTCTCTCTGGCAGCAATGGAATGGCTAGGAGCAGAAAGTAGACTTGGGTAGGCAAAAACGATGAATTCAGCCTGAGGAACTTCAACTTGGGAGGAAATATAGATCATTTAGTTTGTGTATCCTGTGGGAAGCTGGCAACACGGGTCTGATTCAAAGGAGATAAAACAGACTCCTGATCCAGCTTCCAGCCAAAGCATACCCTTGGAGGCAGCAGGTCCTGGTGCAGGTGAATGTACCTGCTGCTCATGGGGAGACTGACCTGTTCGTGGGAAGGTCCACATTAGACCAAGTGCAGAACAGGAGCAGAACCTGGGAGGTTCATGTGGGACAAAAGGCAGCAGCCTTAGCAGCACACTTGGCATGTACACATCCCAAGTCTTGCCCATGTCAGATAACCTCTGGGTAGAGTTCCAGCCTCTTTTCTGGAGATGTCCCAGGGGACTCATCCTAGTCCAGAACTGGGACAATAAAGCTCTGAGAGAAATCTCACGAATGTCACACCTGGAAAGCATGGAAGAGCGGGAGGGGAGAAGTCAATAGGCTCATTCACATATGAACTTCAGTTAAAGACAGACGACATGAGGTGCTTGGCTGAGTTACTCTCCTGGCCTGCCAGGTAATTCTCTTCATTCAGCATCACTAGCTGGCTTACTACCCATCAGTGTCATGTATGAAATTATTTTGTGATATTTATCTCTGTTTGAAAGGCAGATTTTTACAGAGACAGAAGGAGAGCCTTCCATCCACTGGTTCATCCCCCAAATGGCCGCAACCGCCAGAGCTGAGCTGATCTGAAGTTGGGAGCCAGGAGATTCTTCCATATCTTCCACGTGGGCACAGGGCCCAAGGGCTTGGGCCATCCTAGGCTGCTGTTTCAGCTGGTAAGCAGAGAGCTAGGTTGGAAGTGGAGCAGCCAGGACAGCTGCTCATATGAGATGCAATCAGCACCCATATGGGATGCTGGTGCTTGCAGGTTATGCGTTAGCATGCTATGAGAACACACAAGCCCCTGACATTTCCTTCCAGGGAGATCAGCATCTCTATTCTAGTTGCCTCTGCTAACAGACAGAGTGCCTTGCTCCCAGTTTTGCCCCATGCCAGCTCTGGTTGTTGTAAGCATCTGAAGAGTGAACCATCAGAAGGGAGCTCTTGGTTAATTTCTATCTCTCCTACTCAAACAAGTAAATGATATTTAACAAAGAAAAAGATAAGGTTAAGCGCAAAATTTGAAGACTCAAAACTTGAAGGTCAGCACAAAAAGATGACATGAATAGAAGGAAGGATGAGGGAAGAACATGAGAAAGTCACAGAGGTTCCAGAAATGGCTGTGTGCCTTTAAGATTGAATCATGACCCCCCGCCAACCACACACACAATTTTACTTGGAGGAATGAAAGTCTCAGGTAACCACCAAAAGATAAATACTGTTCTTAAGGAGGGAGCTGGGTTTCAGTGAAAACGGAGGCGGCGGTCTTCCTGGGAGCCCCTGGTCTCTAGCCACACTCCTGCAGAGTTCAGAACCATTAGGAAATATATAGATTTGCCGAGCACTTCTTCTAGGCCCAGTGTTGGCTCGCATAGCAGTGACAGAAGATTCTGCCATTCCTACCAGAC